TTTCGCCTTCGAGAGAGAGAGAGGGCTTAGGGCTGAGGGTTTGGAGTTTAGGGTTTAGGATTTAGGGGTTTATAAGTATAAAGGATCTTTGGGGTTTCAGGGTCACCTCAAGGCTCCACAGAGAGTCAGCTCTTGCAAGTAGCTTTGCTTCAAGAGTCCAGGTTTGAGCACATGTAGATGAGGAGCTCCATCCGGGAGACGGTCCAGAGGCGCATAAGTTTAGGGTTTAGGGTTTAGGGTGGCATCTAGCAAGGCAATCATTAGGTCCTCGTCAGTTGCTTTTGAAGGTCACCTCCTAGTTGCGAGTACGAAGCATTACGACGTCTGAAAGATCGTTCTCGAGATGCTCGGGCCTCATGGATATCTGTGTTTCTATATACATATATATAGATATTTAGATACGTAGATATACCCTTTCACTTGCCGTATTCATATAAGGCCCTGGCTTTATCCCCAGCATGAGCTTGACGAGCTACTTAACTTAGTATCCCCATATAATCCCTACTATGGCATAATCCCTGTTTATGGTAGCTTCCATTTTCTTATCCATTATCCCTGTATAACCCCCATATGATACCGAAGGCATAGCCTCAACCCTAAACCCTAAACCCCATATAATGGCCTCAACCCCAAACTCTACACGCCATATGAGCCATAATCTAAATTCTTTGAAGGGGGATATATAGGGATTATATAGGGAATTGCTATAGGGGTTATTAAGGGGGATACTAGGAGTTTAGACTACTCCCCATATAATACCCAAGGCGTCGCCTCAGGCTTGTGAGAGATTGTGTGTTGCCTTCCCTGAGGGGAGCTTCATGCAGGCGAGTTGGTCTGCGGAAGTCGAGATCCAAGATGGGCCTTCAACCAATGGAAAAGAGAATGAAAACTACCATGTATATATACATACTTATATAATAATTATATAGTGCTTTCGGTGTCAAGCAATCTAGAGCCAGCATCCAATTCATGGGGTCGGGCCCCCGAACAGAGTGACCCAGAGGTTGGGTACTGCCCCCCGCCCCTTAAACGTCGGATAAAATTCATGATATCATTATATGTATATATGTAAACCTTGTTACAGACTGTTAATGTGTGGGGCAGGCCCCTATATATAGAGATTGTGAAGGGTTGGGTTTCAGGCTTCTTGGTGTGCGAGGTGCGCAGCTCCTGCATTTGCGCGTAGCGGTTGGCCGAGGGGTCTGGACACAGGGCAGCGGATGCAGCGGTCCAGGTGAAGCAAAGCCCAAAACCCAAAACCCTAAACCCCAAACAGTGTTGCTTACTCAAACCCTAAGCCCTTAAGCCCTAAATCCTTATACCGCGTTCCTTGGGCCCAGGTCACAACAAATTCATCATCGGGATCCCACCTGACGGAACCACCGCTCTTTGGCCAGGGCCGCAAGGAAAAGGGCTGTGACAGTTGGGTAGTTCTCAAAAAATCCCACTGTGGTATGCCTTAGATATTATATAGGTGCCGTAATAAAATCCATAACCAAAGTATGCTAATATTTTTGAGAACAGCCCAAATGTTTTTGAGATGGTTGGCTTTTGAAGCGGCATTTTGTGCATGCTGTGTCAGGGAACGGCTCCACCCATATAGCAGCTCACACCATTTTTGAGTCAACGCAATGTTGGGCACATCATTTCTGGGCTGCTCGCCCGGCCAATCCTGGCCTCCTGATTCTATATGTACCATAGTCTAAGCTCCTTAAAGGAGGGTATATAAGGGATTTTCTGCGGGAGTATTTCCGGAGTTATTAGGGGGGATACTAGGATTTGAGAGTGCAGCTCATATGAAATTTCAAACTCAAGGGTAATTTTTCCAACCTGGGTTCTAGATTTTATGGACTTGATGTCCTTCATGACTTGGCTGCGAAACTCAAAAGGGTTTAGGGTTTAGGGTTTAGGGTTCAGGGTTTAGGAATTTTCGCAACCTGGGCTTCTGATTTTCCCTATGTAAATTTCTTCCTATGTTGCCTTCCAACCTTCGTGGAAACTTGCAGTAGCACTGAATTGCCCATTGCGCTTGCACTACTAGCCATACAATACCAATAGTAAGAATGAAATCGAGCCGCATGGTGTGCACTTCCAGGCATGCTTGGGTTTAGGGTTTGGGGTTCTCATGACGGTAGCATACTATATGGACCTATTGCTATCACTGTTTTCAAAGTGCCAGCCAAATTGATGAAAGTATTGGTGACAGCAATAACATTTCTAGAGTGGTGGTAATGGTAGAAGCAGCAAGAACAACAATAATGTCAAATTGCATATGACCGAATTTTCCTTGTAATAACCACATGATACTACGAATATGTATTCTTGTTCCAAGCCTGTGTAATCTATACAACGTATGTGAGATAGGTGGCTATATCTGAATGTTACGTAAGTAACTACGGACTACCAAGCTCAATGAGAATTTAAAAAAGGACCCCAAACTGTCCAATTCCATGTAATTCCATTTTCAAATTCGATCCTAACCCCAAACCCTGAACCCTAAAGCCTAGATTTACGTATAAACTCGCTTACAACTAACTAGTGGTTCCGGCCAGTCCTGGAAGCTGCGAAAGTTCAAGTTTTTTTCTGATAATACTCCCCTATATAATCCCCCATAGAACCTAGCTAGCATAGAACCCCGTTTTAAGGAGTTTGGACCCTAAACCCTAAACCCCTATAGTCCCCCATAGAACCCCCTTTAAGGAGCTTAGACTATAGCTCACATGGAAGCCACTCCTGATAAAGGTGTCAGTGCAGAAGCCAGATCATTCCCAATCGCGTCAGATCACAAACATAATCACACCAAAATGCAGTCACTTGATAACCAGTCCCGTATACATTTCTGGTCCCTTTAAGGGCACTCCAAGGAGAAACGTATCAATAGGGGGGCCACCGAATTCTCGATGGGCGTGGGTATCATAAAGACAAACAGGCTTAAAGACACATGCACCCCAAACATTAAGACCCTGATTATCCATCTCGGCTCACAGCGTTTTTTTTTTTGGTTTTTTGTGTGGACCTTATGGATGCGTGGCAAGCGCGATGCGAACGCAAAATGGAGGAAGGACCAGGCACAAAGTTTTGAGAAGTGCGGTGACTTTTGAGCTGGGTGCTGATGGTTTATTGCGACTGGCATGCAAAACTCACAAAACCCTGGACGAAAGGTCAGCAGTGGGTCCGCACAAGCCACGGCATTTGGGCGCGGGGCCCAGTTGTGCGGTGATCTAGAGGCAAAAAAATTTGAGAAGTGCGGTGACTTTTGATTTGGGTGCTGATGGTTTACCCTCACGTCGAAACCATCCTGCGCGTACAGGTCAAACCCGACCCATTACCGCTGGTGGCTGAGACAATCAGGATATACAGGGGTTATAGAGTTTAGGATTTATGGGGCTTATAGGGCAATAAGGTTAGAAAGTTTTCCCTGCATGAACTGTGGTCATTGGATATGGCGTCGGCCCCCTGATAGAAAGCCAGATGCTTGCGTAGGTTCCCAGGTTGCTGTTCCTATTGTAAGTTCAGGGTTTCAAATTCAGGGTTTAGGCTTCAAAGTCCTGGGTTGAGGATTTAGGGTTTGGGGCTTCATTATAAGAGCCCTCAACCCTGAGTAACGGTATTGGCTGAAAGTAGGGAAAAGAGGGCGGGATCCCTGTAGTGGTGCCCGCCTATATGGGGGTTTCCCAAAATTAGGGGTGCCTTGTGGGGGTCCCTATATTGAACATCTAGTATTCGAGGATGCTTCCCAACGGTAGCCCTAAACCTGAAACGCTTAACCTTAGACTCCAAAAGGGGTTAGGGGTTAGGTTCTAGGGGTTTAGGGTTTAGGGTACTATATCAACCCGAAACTTGAGTAGCCTTCAGGATCCCACGCTGTTGAGGGTGTAGGGTTTATGGTTCAGGGTTTAGGACTTAGGGTTTAGGGTTTTAAGCGTCTCCTTAACGGGAAATCCTGAATCCTGTTTGCACGGTATCGTCCTGAAGTAGACTACCGGGTTGCTGGGAAGTAACCTACTGAATTAAGTTACTATCATAAGGAAACCCTGTTATTTGTTATATATCCACCCGAAACCCTAAACCCTAAAACCTAATGCAAGTCCTGAAAATAAACGATGTGTAGTATGCTGGAGTTGATATTGGGGGTCCCCTATTTTCACGTTTGCAAGCGTTCCCAGGTACTCTCCACTGCTCGAGGTCAACCTCATCAGCCGCCGTTCTTCAGGCCGGGCTTCAGTGCATTGACTAGGACGATGTCATGCAAAAGCAATTCTTGCAGTTGTGCTGTTTCCACAGCGTCCACAGAGTTTCAGCTCATGACGCGGCATGTTGTATGGCATCGCTATGTGTTGCATGCTGTGTCCCACTCCTGGAAATGCTGGATGTGACACAGTGCCACGTCCATGCAGTCGTTGGCTACTCAAGCAAGGCCATCTTTTCTTACGTTGATTGTTTACATGCCATGGCCCCATCGCTTAGTATCGAGAACCATCTTGGGCAGCCTGTTTGGTCCACAATGCGTTGATCGGGAAATGGCAGTATCTCATCATCCCATGTTGGGGCATGTCAAAAACCAGCTTCTACCAGCGTCGTCCGCAGCAGAACGGGAATATCTGCCCTTACGTCAGGTTGCCCTGGAATCAGCGTCTAAATGGGGATTACCGTTCTGACGTGTAATATGGGGCTGATGTGAAATCTTCCCAATGCCAGCGTCCGCAGTAGATGATGTGTATGCTCACCGAGCGGGGTACGGTAACCCCAGCGCTTATACTTCATCTTTTTGTCCAAGTTGATGTACTGCGGAGGTTTTCTCCAGGCTATGATTGGGTCCTTGCTCGTCAGTCTCTTAAGTGAGGCTACACAATCTCCAGCCACATTCTCAACACTGAGCCCTACATTTTGAAAATCCCCTGAAGTCGGATATAACGGTGAAACGAAGTTCTGTCGTTTTGGACGGATCTGAGTCTGAATCTATCGTGCCTAGTACTAGCACGTGAGCCTTGTATGACTGTATGCAATGTGAGGATCGTATCTGGTGAATTTTGTGGTCCTTGCCATGATGGCTCGTGTGGTGGGGTGTGTCAACAACCTAGACCCAGACTTACTAGGGGTTAGTAAGGAATAAGGGAATACCCTAAACCCTAAACCCTGTAATATGTTATACAGGGATTCTGAAGGGATAGCATTCCCTTATTCCATACTAATCATCAGTCAGTAAGAACAGCAGGCTTGGGCTTCTCCTGGAACCCCTAGATTGTTGTTGAAATCAGGGTTGAGAGGTTTTGGGGTTATAGTCCCCCTTACGTAGATAGAATATGGCTTTGGGTATAGTATAGTAAGATCCCTATATACCCTATATTTTATGTACTTAAGGGGGACTATGGGATTATCATTTGAAAATTGGGTCTAGAATTTCCTGAACTACACCAAGTCTCCACCAGGTTGCAAGAGCCTCTCATCAAAGTCGACCAGTTCTGGAATGGACACCAGCTTGTCTTTGCCCTTGCCTTTGCCTTTAGCTCTGGCATAAACTGCAATGTTAAACAGAGTAGAGTATTCCCTCCCACCATAAACCCTAAACCCAAACCCCTAAACCCTCAGAGTAGAGTATTCCCTCCCAGCACGTAAATCAGGCATTTCTTTCTGAGACGGCCTGTCAGGCTGCTGCACTGCCTGGATCTGGTGTTGCCGTGCTTGCTTCTGCTGTTGTGCTTGCGGCTGTGCTTGTGGCTGTGCTTGCACCTGAATCTGTGGCGGTGGCGGCAGCAGTGACAGTGATGGTGGTTTTGGATGAGGTGGTGGTGGTGGTGGTGGTGGTGGCGGCGGCGATGGAGGTCCTGGTGGGTTGCTCTTTTGGCTCTGCCACTGGTGTGGTACCAGGTACTGATTTCGGGGGAAACTTTGCTCTCTTCTTTACTGGTACTCAGCGGGCGCACCACCCATTGCTGCTGCTGGCAGACCACACTCATTCCGGTGCCATTTGCCCGCTCATCGGCATTGAGCCATGGGGGGGGAGGATTAGCATGCTTGGCAGCAGCAATTGCCATCGGCGGTTTTTGCGGGGGCCGCTTCTGGATCAGCAGCTCAAGCTGCTGTGTCGCCTTGCCTTGATCCCCTATCGCTAAGAACTGCTTCAACGAAGCCTGTTTAATTGCCTTACAGTGCGCCTGTAAGTCCGCGCCCTTGTCATGCCTTACTTGAATCAGCTCTGCGCGACTGATGAGGTCACGAAGGTGCTGACCATTGACTGTGCACACTGTGTTCGAATCTTTGAATGCTGAGATTCATTTGCTCCCAAACGTGTGCCCCCATTGCGGAGAGTTTACTACAGTTTAGAGGACCCCAGAGCTGTAGAAAACATCCCAAGTGGGATTTGAGCACTTTGAGTTTGACAGCAGACTTTCCTTTCAACAGCATA